AGTGTTTTATTAGACTATTGTTAGACTATAAAATTCACTCAAGTATACAATTTTATGGGTTTTTAAGCGTATATAAACATCCCCAAGGATCCCTTTTAGAACATACTCATAACTTTCAAGAGAAATCTATCCTCATTTTCCTTACTACTTTAGTTACTCAGCCCTGAACATCCACTGATATTTAAACCCATCTCCCTGGAATTGCTTCTTCTGGATGTTTCGCATAAAGAGAAACTTATCTTTATGGTTTCATCTATGTTGTATCATGTATTAGTACTCTATTTCTTTTTCTGCACAGACAATATTGTTTCCATGGTTATAATATTTGGTGGTGCATTCGCTAGCTGATTGCCATTTTATTTGTTTCTAGTCCTTTTGTCTATGGCAAATGATGCCATTATGAATCTCTCTGTCTGGGGTTTTGTTCTGATGTATATTTCATTTCTTTTGGGTATAGTTAGAGTTTCTAGGTCCAATGGTAAGTCAAAGTTTACCCATTAAGGAACTTCCAGACAGATTTCCAATGATATAAGGGCTTCCGTTTTTCCACATTCTTAGCAGTTCCTGCTATTTTTCTGTCTCTTGTTTTATCACTACTATCCCATTGGATAAAGACAATCTCTTACTATAATTTTGACTTGTGTTACCCTCTGGCTACTGATCCTGGACCTCTTTGGTATTTGATCACTTGTCAATCATGTTTTGAGGCCTCATCCTTTTTCTGTTTTTCAAATTTATTGCTTTTTGGCTGTTGTGTTATTGGGGGATTTTAAAAACTTGGTGCTATATCCTTATAAGATACACTATTCTCTGATATTTTTATTAATGCTTCAGAGAATTTTCACTTTCCACATACTCTCCCCCAATGCATAAGTTTAAAACATTACAAGATACAAATTATCCAAGTATCAAGTATCTTGTATAGCCTATGATTTTGATGTCTTATTTAAGATAATCATTAAAACAAACATTGAAGATTTACCACTATTATTTCTTCTAAGCACTCTATGGTTTTAGCTTCAACATAAAGGTCTTTGATTCATGGTAAGTTTTGTATATGGTAGGAGGAATAGGTCCAGCATTTTTCTTTTGCATGTGGATGCTCAGCTGTTGCAATACTGTTTATTTAATAGATGACTTTTTAATAAAGCTTTTTGATATCCTCATTGAAAGTCAGTTGACAGCAGGTCTATAGGTTTATTTCTAGATGCTTAATTCTGCTCCATTGACCTGTGTGTGAGATTTCATGGGAGTGTTTGTAGGATATGTTGAAATCAGAGGTTGGGACTGCTTCAACTTTATTTCTACTTTTTAGAAATTGATTGATGTAACATTTATGTCTGTATGAAGTTTAGAACTCACTTTCCTATTTTTTCCTAAAGAAAAGGTCTCTGATTTTGATAGGAATGTTCTGGAACTGTATCATGTTTAAGGGTTTTGCTGTTATTCTAATTTTATCTTCCAATCAATGAACATGGTATATCTTTCCATTTATTTGGATTTCATTCATATCTTTATAATTTCATATAGATTTCAGTATACCAGCCCTTGAACTCCTTGAACAAATTTCTTCTTAAGCATGTTCTTTCTTAAGATTTCTTGGTTATTGAAAATGCATAGGAAAAAGTTTTGTACATTAGTATGTTGATTTTGAACCCTGAAATCTTACTGAACTCTTATTACTTATGATCATTTAAGTGTGTTCCTTGGGACTTTCTTTATACACTGCCATTCCACCTGTAAATGCAGACAATATTCACTCTTTTCCAATACAAATACCTCTTTTATTTCTCCCAAACTGGCTACAACCTCCAGTGCAATTTAAGATGAAGTCATGAAAGTGGTTCTTTTTGTTCCTAATTATAAGGGGAAAACATCTGCCCTATATGCTACTTAGTATGTTTTTTTTCCTTTTCACTCATATGTATGTATGTATGTATGTATGTAAGTATGTATGTATGTATACACTCACATACATATGTACATATATATAATGAATTTTCCTCAGTTCTACTCCCCTCTTCACATTTCTCTGTCTCACTGAAACTCTTTGTCTCAATAGTTCTCACTTCCCCTTTTCTATGTTCATTTTGTCTGTGGCCCACTCACTTTAAGAGTTTCTTGCCTGAGCTCGAGTAGGAGGAAGATATTTACTAGACCAAGGAAATTTGGTTGTGGCTACACTACTGACAAAAATGATAGATAGCCTTTCCTCCAAAAGTTTTTAACTGCCAATCATTCCTCCAGGAAGGGAGGGGCCTCACTGGCTCCTCCCCCATCAATGATGAAATATTAGTTGGCCCAATTTTGTGTAGTTCTTATGTAGATGGCTATAGCTATCATCAATAAGTGCACTGACAATGTCACATCTAGAAGATTCCTTTACAGTGTTTATTTCCCCGTCTTCTAGATTATGTTAGTTCTGCCTCTCTTGTTCCCTGGGCCTCAGAGGGGTTGTTATAGCTGTCCCAGTTGGACAGTATCACTCTACCATCACTTACTCTTTGGTGACTACCTACCCAATCAAACAGATTCTTCTGCATTTTATCTTGAAAACAGTTCCCTTCTGAAAGAAAAAATGTCCCTCATTTCTTTATATTTGGGTACTCAGTGTCCAGTGTGTTAGCAAATGGGGTTGTGAATGTTTGCCATCTACATACCCATGGCTGGAAGTATCTCATGGCCATTGGTCTAGAATAGTAATTAGAGCACAAAGTCACCTGTCAGTTTTGTGTGTAGATCTCCCTTAGTTACTATGGTAGACAGGACTTGGTAGGATATGCCTCTGCTTCTGAGGGTAGGGTATCAGACTACAGGGAAACATCAGGAAAACAATGTAATCAGTCTCCAGGATGTAGTCTACAGGGCCTTCCTTGTCTTCTTCCTTAGTCTAGAGCAGTGATTCTCAGCCGGTGGGTCACAACCCCTTTAGAGTCCCCTTGACTTTCACAGTGGTTGCATATCAGATATCCTGCATATAAGATATTTATATTATGATTCATAACAGTAACAAAGCTACAGCTATGATGTAGCAATAAAAATAACTTTATGGTTAGGGGATGGGAGTCACCACAACATGAGCAACTATATTAAAGGGTCCTAGCAATTAGTATGCCTGAGAAACACTAGTCTAGAGAAAGCTTGGGCACCAAGGCTGACTGAGAGATAAGAGGTTCACGGATGAAGGGCAATAATGTCCTTCCAGCTTCTAGGACAAAAACTGCAACAGGAAAGAAGAGTCAAGGGATATTTGGGGATGAGAGTGACTGTCTTCTGTCAACAATAACAGTCCCTTCCCCAATGTCTCTGGGATCAGGTCAGATGTATTTACCAGCACTTCCTGGGCCCTGAGTTTCTCAGTCCCTCAGGTGCTGAGAATCGGGAATCTTATATATGTTCTGATATTCAACTTTACATGTGATAACACCTAGACCAAAAAGTTTCAGAACTCTCTAAGGCCACAGCTTCTGAGAGAAGACAGAATTCCACTATGGGATCCTGATTGAAACAAACAAACAAACAAACAAACAAACAAACAAACAATTCAGAGGATTTGGTTGGTAAGTATGCAAATACTGCCTTGCCTCTGTGAGCCCAAGCACCAGCTCGGATACTATGAACACAGTAAGATGCAAAATGACTGGGCTGCTACACAAAGGAGGGCAGCCACTGAGACTCCAGCCCCTTACCCATCCCATATGCATCTGCTCCCTTGGGTATCCTAAGCTCTACTTGTCCACACCAGGGAACAGCTGAACTCTGAGCATAAATTCTCAGCTGGATAGCCTATGTGTAACTTTTCCCAGCATTCTTTGCAGTTGGAATTTTATGTGCTCTTTGGTTGAGTGTTTCAATAAGGAACATGAAATCCAGGCTCTCTAGCAATATCTTTTTGACTTAAAAGCCCATGTGGAGTTCCTTGCATATAAACTCAATCTTAATAACCATGCTGATCTGAGTGACTGTAAACACTGATGCCCAAGACAGGATTAGCAGAGCTAGTGACAGAGTGAGATGAGTCCTCATCCCAGTCTGCTTTGTTCTCTGTGACCCACTGCCAGGTAAACTTTCAAAGAAGTTGCAGATAAGGACATACCTGTCTTTTCTAACACACTCAGGAGGTACACAGATTGTTAAAAACCATGGCCATGATCGGGTTTGATTTTATTTAGATGCTTTGCCTTCTTCTCATGGAGGAAAATGGAACATACTACCTTTACCTGATGTTTTCTCATTCTCAGCTGGGCAACTCTTGCCATTTTAAGGTCTTTTCTTAGACCTTAATTAATTTTTTAAAAGCCCCCATTGCCTTTCTCCAGACTGACATGCTACTATCCCAGATGGGAGAGAAATGTACATGTAGGGGAAAGTTCTTTAATCAGCTATATTTGCCTCAGACAGCTGAGACTATTTGCAAAAAATCCAAGACATGCACACTAAGCTCCTCGGCTCATAGATTTATGCATCTGGTTTACTGGCGAGGCCTTCTGGGTCCAGCCATTATCAAAGCCTATGATAAATTGTTGAGTGTGTGGCATTCTAGATGCTCTTGGCATCTCATTCCATACAGAAAGAAGTTTGCTATTTGTGGGTGGCCTCCTAACATATGGGTGACAGGCTCTCAGAGGATGCCCAAGCATGCTGCATTTACGACTCCAGTGTCAGAGTTGATGTTTAGGCTTACAGAGGCAAGGTAGTATTTGTATACCTGCCAATAGTAGGAGTTATTTTTTGGGGGTGGGTGGGGTGGAGATTATCCTTTTAAAGAGAATCCTCTGAAAAAAAATTTTAAAAGTATGGATTCCATAGTAGAACCAAATGAGAGAGAAAACTGGAATAATTGGAAGCTGTTGTCTTTTCCCTTCCCACAGAAAATCATTTGAAGAGACAGGCCAGAATCTTTCATGGGAGTTACCAAGAAAAGTTGTAATATGGACGTCAGTTGCGGTGACTTTTGGGTGTCGGCTTAAGAATGCTTCTCTTCTACCTTCTTTCTCCAGACATACTTCAATGACAATATCCTCACCTTAATACGGACCCTGGTGACAGGAGGAGCCACGCCAGAGCTCGAGGCTCTAATAGCTGAGGAGAATGCTCTTCGAGGGGGCTACAGCACTCCGCAGACACTAGCCAACAGGGACCGTTGCCGAGTGGCCCAGTTAGCCCTGTTGGATGGCCCCTTTGCAGACTTAGGGGTGAGTCTACAGCTCAGATAACTTCTGAGCCCAGTGTCTGCAGCAAGTGTGACTTGAGTGAACTGTGTCAGATGGTGACAAGCTAGTATTTGCATCTCTCTCTTCCACTGTAATAGACTAAAGAGATGGAATTTATGGAGTCTTATTTACCAGACCCCACACTTTATGCAGAGATATTCCTGCAAATTCACCTACCAGATCTTTGATGCCTTACTCTCTGGTAAGTGAGGCACAGGGCATATGCACCAAGGCATCATGGCTTTGGAGCTAAGGGCCTTTCCTCCACTGCTGCCTTCCTCAGGGATTTTCTTCCCAGAGATGGAAGGTGCAAGTGCTAACAACACACAGCCAAGTTTGGTAAGCATTTGAGAAGGGTCTTGACCACTCAGCCACTCAGCTTTGACTCTAACTGAGCACAGGGATACTCAGTCCCAAACTCTGGTTTTGTACCTGTATACTGTTGACACAAAGTTACAGCTCTCATCTTAAAGGGGAATAAGAGATAGTTTATTCTGGATCCATAAGGAGGGATCATGGTGGCTAAGGAACACATCTTTACATACTACAAATTCCTTCTTTCCACGTGGAAGCAGTATGAAGTTGCATTGTTTCACAGAACCAAGCAAGCCATAAACTGAGACAACTTTAAAATTCATTGGTGGGCACACCAGAAACAGATATAGCAGGCTGGGAGAAGATTTCCTATGGGCCCTGGATGCTGTCTGGTGACATTTTTAACTTTTGGGCTGGTGGCACTTAGTGGTCTGCTAATTAATAGATTTCAAAATGTTTGTATTAATCACAAGACGTTAGTTCTGACAGAGAACAGTTCTGACAGGGTAGCGGATGGCTGGTCTAGTTGGCTAGAACTAGCCCAATACAAAGCAATGAGCGTCTGGCCCTGTAGTGTTCTAATCTTGTCACAGTACTGCAGTTCTGCTCAGTCACTGGTCTCTGTAGACACAGCTTTATTTGAGGATATTTTGTTCATAGTACCATCTAAGCACTGGTGGGTTTTGAAACATCAAGGCCATCATGTGTATCCAGAACCATTAGCTAAAGTGGCAGGGTTTCAACTGGCACCTTTGTTATCTTGTTGTCTCTAATTCAAGGCTTTTGTCTCAGAATTTCTGAGTTGACCCAGCCACCCTTTCCCAGGTCTCTGTTAGTGGAGGGAATGAGAGCTTCCCTTTGGATTCCGTGTGGACTACCTTGGGTCAGGCACATCAGGAAAAGTGTGCCACCTTGAATTTTATTCCAAACTCACCTGAAGAAGGAGTTTAAGGAGTGGAACCATGAATCTTGGGGATATTTATACTTAATGTACAAAAATTAGTGTTGCCCAGAATGTCCTGTTATGGAGAATGTCTTGTTTTGTAACACACCAATGCCTCCTTGTGGGCCAGGACCTACATTAATCTGGAGCCATTTTAAAAGGAATTCCATAATTAGTGGCTCTTTTCTTTATCACTTCCTTACTAGTACACTTGAATCAGACTATTATTTCCAACAATAGTGAGATACTAGAAACTTTGTAGTCTAATACGATGACCATCATCCTAATTCCAGCTATAGCAAAGACAAATACAGCCTCTCTGTTACTAATGAATTCACTCTGTCATGCCATTCTGTAATAAAGTCCACTTGGAGTCATGTGTCTGCCTGAAGCCCAGAATCTTTGATTCATTTTCAAACAAGAACACTCTTTTCACTTTGTGCACCTTGTGAGTCAAGCCCCACAACTTGGGGTGCAGTTGTGAACCGATTAGTACCTTGAATCCCAGTCATCTCGCCTGTAAGCTCCCACAGCCTCATTCCCCTAGACATCTCTGAGGTTTGCAAATTGCGCTTTTCACACAGTCCTCATCTGAAAGAGTCTTCTCACCATAGGACTTGCAGGGGTGTCTTTTATTCTTGCAGTGGTTTTCATTATCACTTGGGCAGTTTTGACATCACGGTCCCATCACAGTGGACACAGCCGAGTTGGAGGAGAAATAGAATCCTTGCTTTGTAGGGTTCTTTTCTTCTCTGTAGCTATATAATTGGGACCTTCCAGTGTCACACACACACACACACACACACACACACACACACACACACCCCTCAGGTGAAGGAAAGACAGAAGCTTGTTTGAGATACAGAAAGACCTGTGGGGACACCAGAGGAACCTCCCATGGTTGTCAGATCCCTAAAGTCAAAGCATACTGGGTCCAGGTTGTTTGCCACACTGATATCTCTGGGCATAGTCTCTGGGCATAGGCCCTCCAGCTCCAGAGACAAAGAAACAAGTTTTGATGAAAAGGTTTTTTCCCCCAGACCTTGATTCCCAGGCAAATAAAGACTGATGTTTCTCTCACACACTTTGTTGTCTCCCAGGATGGTGGTTGTTATGGTGATCTGTTCTGCAAAGCTCTGAAAACGTATAACATGCTGTGTTTTGGAATTTACCGGCTGAGAGATGCCCACCTCAGCACCCCCAGCCAGTGTACAAAAAGGTGAGTATGTCTTCTCTCCCTACCATCTCACCTGAATGCAATGGTACTGATGCCTTCTCTTGTTTCCTGCAGGCAAACGTCTCTATGTGCATGCCTTCAACACACTGCCTGCATCAAATCTAATACTAAGTTGCGGACTTAGGAGAAAGGTTTTTTTTTTTTAAATGTGAAGCCATTGAGGGAAATTAGTGCTTTGTAAAGTAGCTCCTTTACCATTACAGAGGCCAGAATCTCAAGCTCTGATTCTGTGCATACCTTCCTTGCTTCCTAATGTGGAGATACTTCATATTGCTGATATTTTTGCTTCATATATTCCATAATTGACTCACTTTATTTCATATATTAAATTCTGTGGTATTTTCTTCTGATATGCCTTAATTTAATAAGTTCATGGCAGGAAAAACATTAAAGATGCATCCTAGAATTACTCAAACCCATGAGCTTGTGTAGTATACTCTAAGAAAGAGGGTCGTAGAGGTGTTTCTCAGATCTATAGATTGCAATCATCTGAGGGGTTAAAATAAAAATACTGTGATTACAGTAATTTCAAGTATGTGTAAGGAAAAAGCATGCATGCATGTTTAAAATTACATGACAGTGTTTATATATTTAATGCTTGAGAATCACAGTGCTTAGCCAGAGCTAAAAATTGTTGCAGACTAATGTGTTTCTGTATGGAGGTAAGTAGGAGATTCACCTGCAGAGTTTCCAAAGACCAAATTACCGAGCCCCACTCTGGGGTTCGTGATTCAACAGATCAAGGGGTCAGGTCACTAAAATTTTTCCCTTTTGTTTTTAGTTCGTTCATTTGTCCCTTCCTTTCTTCCTTCTTTTCAGTGCTAGAAAAGAATAGACCTAGACCAATAACCAGCATTTTTCTGAGGTTCCTGGGAATCTCTGAGACCCTATTTCAAGATCCATTGCTGCAGAGACAATATGCTGATCATTGTAGTTGTAGCTGGTGTCAGCCAGAGAAAGCCTGTTCTAATTGTCAGAAGGGTGGTCAGGCTCCCATAACCAGGGAGCTATTGCTAAAGAGGTACTAGGCATGATGAACAGAGACCCTGTGGTGTGTATCTGTGCCTGTCAAGACATTCTAGAACGGAAGTTACAGTGCAGTTGGGTGACTGTTTGCTGTCAACTTGACCATTGTGCATTTGGCCCACATGAATGATTGTGCGGCTTTTCCATTACCAGTTCTAACCTGGCCCCTTTGACTGGGATTGTGGCTGCCTTGTTAAGTTAAACATGAAGGTTTCCTTTAATTTGGAAGTGAATTTGAGGTGACTGGACCAAGTACATCTAGTCCCTCAGATAGATTCAAGCAGCCAGGCCATTAGTTGTTTTAGGCTACAGGAGAGTTCAGTGGCATGCCTGCTTGCCTCAGCCTGTGATACCTTTGCTTTCTCTGTCCAGGTATGTCATCACCAATCCCCCCTACGAGTTTGAGCTCGTACCAACAGACCTGATCTTCTGCCTGATGCAGTTTGACCACAACGCTGGCCAATCCCGGGCCAGTCTGTCTCATTCCTCCCACTCCTCACAGTCGTCCAGTAAGAAGAGCTCCTCCGTCCACTCCATCCCGTCCACAGCAAATCGGCCGAACCGGCCCAAGTCCAGGGAGTCCCGCGACAAACAGAAGTACGTTCAGGAAGAGCGGCTTTGATATGTGTAGCCACCGGCACCCGTGTGTGAAACTGTATCTGCTACTCATTTCCCCCAATTGGTATTCCAACAGAGTAACTTTCCTGTTCCCTATAGTTCCCTCTTTTTTTTCTTTTCTTTTCTTTTTTTTTTTACACATTTTGCATATGTATGATAGTGTGCATGTGGTTGTCATTTTTACTTCACCACCATAAAACCCTTGAGCGCAACAGCAAATAAGCAGACGGACCAAAAGTTATTTATGATTCTAGCGGGGGAAGTAAGCCAAAGGCATCCTCCAGACATAAATAGCTCACTGCAGGAATGAGTTCACAGGTTAGGGAGGAGCACCTGTGAGTTAGGCAAAGCAGGTTTACTCTGATTTATCAGGATCATCAGAATGCTTCGGGTTTTGCTCTTTCTTTTTTCTTTTTTTTTTGTTTACTTTTTTTCCCCTGTCTGTTTTTATACACACATCATAAGTTAGCACACAATCGTTTGAAACAAGCAACCAAACGCAATGAAAACGCATTGATCGTTTCCACTCTGGGCTGAAGTATCGCAAAACATTTGAAAAGCCTTCCAAGTGTGTGCAAAAGATGATTAAGTATCTGCTTGTTGCAAGAGAGCATCGGAGATGTTTTTTTAAACTTATTCACCAAAGCCTTTTTGTCTCAGAGCTAGCGTCTTTCAGGTGTTTAAGTGAATGTTTCTAACTTTAATGCAGAGAGAAAAACAGGTTTCCACTCCTGGATGTATCAAATCTTAGTCATTTCATTTACCTGAAGAGAGGTTTGATCACATATTAAATTGTTATTCTGTCTCCTTATGCTGCCATAGGGATAGCTAGTTTTTTTTCTTTCACTTTTGACATTTGGGATGAAAAGCCATATGTATCATAAATATCAGATGTAAGTCATTAAGAACTGCCTTCCTGGGACTTTTACATCCTTTAAAAGGTGAATCACTTACCTTATGTACAGAATAAATAACACTCAGAAAAGAGCAAGTATTTTTCCATGCATTCTCAAGGGACTTTTTTACTCCCCTTTGTTTGACTAACGAGGGCCCCAATGCCAAGTACAATTCAGGCTGGGGCAGTGGTGGAGCAGAAAGGAGACAGACTCAGTAGTAGATAATGGTCTTTTGTAGGAGCTGACATATTAAATAAATCAGAATGTAGGAGGATGGAGCCACAGTTGACTCAAGAAAGACAAAAGCTAGCGACCACATTTAAATTGCTGGCACAGCTGTATGATGCTCTGTCCCAAAGCAGAAGGCTGGCAGGAAAGATCTAGTATCGGTAACCTGTTTTAACATACAGCCAATTCCTATAGGTAGATGAGTGATGGGAGAGCGAGCTTCCCCCTTCATTTCACAATTGGAAGGAGGCGGCTGCAACAGTGAGCCAAACACATTGCAGCACTTAATTTTTTTTCTTTTGTTTCTTTTTTTTTTAAAACTGTTAGTCAGCAAGGGAGGGAAGATAGACAGATACATTTTTCCCAATATGCAACTATCAGATGTTTTATGCATGCAAATTATGTTTTAGGAACATAGAAATTCTGAAGAATTGGCCAACTTTACCATAACCAAATTCTGGTATGGGTAGACTAGCCTTGGGCTCATAGGAACTTATTTGAGATATTTACTTAGAAATCCATTGATAGAACAGGGGGTAGGAAGGCGGGAGGGGGGAATCTGTCATGTCTTTAGCATCTCTTTTTAAAAGGTGTTTTTATGGTGAATGTTTTGGGTTTAGATTTTTGATCCCCTGTCCCCTCCAGCATGATGGTTTTGGAGATTTGCTTGCTGTGTGATTGACAAGCACTTTTACTGACAAAAAACTGCGAGGCTCTGTCAGAACCTCCACTTCCCCAGACACCAAAGACAGGACCAGTGCAGTATTCCAACCAGCAATGGGTGGGGAGTCATTGTATACATGTAAATTTAAAAGTCCTGTGAGTGGAAGTATTTTGTTTTCAAATTATTTTTGTCCTTATGTATTTGATTTATATATGACATCTAGCTATCTCTTTATATATAACTATATATATATAACTATATATATAACTATATATATATATAACTATATATATATTTATATATAACTATATATACATGTCCCCTAGTTTTGGATCGTGAGCGATCTTCATGCATTCTTTGCAAAGGAGGTTATGAGGCTACGCCCTCAGAACATTGATAACTATAAGAATGTGCCAGTTAAAGTGCTCAACAGGAAATATGACAGTTTAAAAGCGTTGTAAAACTCACATAGCTTACTTCTCTCTCTAAAGTGCAACAAGGATGACTAGAATGGGCCAAGGTATGACAATTAATGGTTCTGCATGACCTAGCCACTGCTGGGGGTTTTCTTCTATAACGTTGTCCTTGTGAAACTTTTGTGGAATTAAAAAAAAAAGGAGTTACAAATTTTATTCTGTTATTGTTTATTTTTATTTAAATTGTTCTGTTTGTGGTTCTCTTTCTTTTGTTTTGCTTCTCCACCCTCCCCCTTTCTCCTCCTCTTCCTTTCTCCCTTCCTTCTTCTTTTTCTTCCTCCACTTTCTCAATTGCTCAGCGCAATGAGGCTGTGCTGCTGCTATGGCTAGATCCCTTAGAGTTTGTTTTGGTGTTCTTGGGGGTCGGGTAATATGGGGATAACTTTTCTCCATCTGGCTTGCCTTCAAATCTGCACGTGGCCTCCCTGCCCACCTTGGTACCTTGCCCCAAGTCCAAAAGCATTTTCCCATTGAGAAACCCAGCTTCTTCCACTGCCCCCATCACCACTGCCCAAACCTAGCCCCCACTGGTCTGTTTATATCTCTGTGTTGATCTTGGCTAGACCCACCAAATCGAACAATGATGCCGGTTGATAGATGTTTTTGTAAGACATTCATAGCTATCCCATTTGACAAATGTGCTTCTCTGTTAATAGTTGACCCCCCTTTCATCCATATGAGGAGTGTTACTAATGGCAAATGCATTGGTCTGTTTTCCTGTTTGATTAGTAGGAACCACAGTCAAAGCTGTTGAGCCTTATGAATCCACTTGAGAGCGCATGCCCAGTTCTGAAGGGGCTGATGACTCAGTCTGGACAGAACTCACATGTTTCCTGCCACCTGCCATTCAGACATTTGTTAAATCCCAACCACAAATGGGGCAGACAGAAGCCAATCCAAAGTGTCTTTTGAATGCAATTGGTTAGTGGCTCCAGTAGATGAGACTGTAACTGACTGGAATGGGAGCAGACTATGATATGAGTCGAAATTTGGGAGTTTTCTCTGGACTTTGGGTACATAGTCCCCACTGGGTAATTACAGATCATTGAGAATTGATCAGAGGTGACTATCTGTTGGTGGCAATGGGATCATGGTGACTTCTCTTTTATTAGCTGAGACTTCTATATTATATTCTTCTTAATAGAGTGAAGCCTCTCCATCTCCACCATTTTGCATTTGACTCCAAACTCCCTCTTTGAGGAGAAGAGAGGCTCCCTTAGGAAGCAGACATTCAGGTTCTTTATACATTGTCTCTTCCCTACTTCTTCTTCACTCAAACTAGAAACAAACAAGGAATACTAGAAAGTGAGAGAACACTGAAAAGAAAAACACACATATTTTTTATAAGAATCACAGCTTAGAGCTCAGTGATCTCCCCAGTTCTGGGAGAGAAGCAGTTTGTGAGCCATTCAGTCTGCTTTGCTCAGGCTTTGGAAGGGGTCTATGTTAAGTGAGCTGGAAGAGTAGGAGGAGAAGCTTTGCACCAGCTGTCTGGTAACTGTGGAATTGTCAACATCCCTAAAAGCTGCTATTGGGATCCTTCTCAAATCCAGTTGAAACAGACCCTTGCACTTTCCAGTCTCCCCTATGTTTTGGAGATGTTTCCAATTCCATTATGAAATGAAGGATTATGACTCAGGCAGGATATTAAAGTAGGCACACACAATATGTATTTGAAATCAGTTTCACTTTTTAAACTCTCTTATAGTTTATCTGCATCCCCTTGGTTTATTCTTGGAAAAGTCACAATTAATGCCTGAGGTGTTGACATAGCTTATTTGCTGGTGTCAGGCTCTTGGAGCCAGATTCTGTTTCTAAGCCAGGAAGATAAGCCCTGTGAGCTTAGGGACTAGAGAGACTGACTATGCCTGTTGGCAACATTATTGAGATCCTAGATGACCAGAGGAACCTTTGACTGACTGTCTTGCAGCATGGGGAGTGCCTTAAAGGTGTCTATATCCCAATAGAGACAATTATATCAAACTTCCAGGTTCCTATAGCAACAGCCTCCTTGAAGAACAAGAAAGTACAGAAACTTCTGGGAGTGGAAGTTAAGACAAATCAATTTCTCCACCAGCTTCCATCAGCCAATTCCTGCCTTGTCATGTGATAAGGGAGTAGCTGTGGGCATCTGTCTCTGAGCTGGATAAGTATCTCCCATATGGAGACTGCACATGGAAGTGACCAGGAGAAACTCTCGTTGCCTAAGAAGAAAGAGTATCCTCAGAGTTTGGCTGGATGCAAGGATGGACAGTCATAGTAGTCCATTACAGAGAAATGAGATAAACAGAAACTTGTCAAAGTCTGGTAGAAACTATGTGTTTGTAGAATGGCTATGTTCTGCTGAGGTAGAAGAGGAGGAGGTTGGATACATAGTTTTGCCTGGGAGGCAATGGGTTTTATATAAGCATAGGAAGCTTAGCACATTGCCTATTATTAGAAATGTAATCCAGGAAACCACATGAAGTTGCCCTTATGGGTTGGAGCTCTTTGTAGCTATTGCTTGTCTCATTACCCTCTGTATGCAAATGGGGATATCTCCCCTCCATGCCTTTGCTCACAAAGCCTCAGCTTGTGGTGCTACAGAGTGCTAGTTATTCCATGTGCCTTTACTGTGTTACCAGTTCCCTGCGTTAGCGGTCTTCTCTAGGGAGTACTGATATGAAAAGGCTAATGCCCACAACACTGACCACCCACAGGGCCAACAAAAGTCCTGTGTTCACAGTGCAGTGGTTTCTCCCTCTGCTTTGGGTGCTTTGGGTAGTTCAGTCCTTCTTTACCATAATAACTCTCCTCTGGGAGGAAGTCTGAACCCTTGTTCTAATCCAATCCTTTCCTTATACTAGCAATCGAAGGCACAGGTGATTCTCCAAGGGGCAGGACATCCATCAGGTGAAAACTGGCATCAGAAACAAGGACTCAATGCATCACAGCCCTGAACTCCCCAACATAACACCTTGTTACCCCTTCTTCCCAGTCACCTTCCAGATGAAGACTGCCTACAGGTTCCTCCTGTGTCATCTCTATTGCCACAATCTATATTCTTCAGGCTAGACCCCTATTTATACACCCTAAGTCTCTGCTTCAGGCTCCTCCATTGAAGAACTTTATCTGCAAACACATTTATAACGTACCACCCACCCTTACATCATACTCATATAAAAGCTAACCTTAAAGGTAAGGCAGTCATCACAGCTACTCTGCCCAGCAAGTTACAGTTGTAAACATATTTAACTCTCATGATCAAACCAGATGTAGGGGTTGTTAGAATCTCCATCATACAACAGATATGGAATATGAAGAACACCAAAGTCTATGTAGCTTAGTCACTAAAATACAGTGCATGAATCATGAATAACAGTAATAAACTTAGCAAATATTATTTGCTGACTATGTAGCTGAATGTGTAGTAAGTCATTGATACCTTTTCTATTGATATAGCCAACAAGATTAGTAAGGTTATTTTCTCAACCCTATTCTATAGAGGATGAATAACACTAAGAGACTTTGCGTAGCCTTTCAGAGCAGATAGTATGTGAGAGATCCAGGTATACCTAACTCTAGTTCACAAACTGGTGCCATTTCATTGCCCCACCATAGTGTGTCCAGAGTGTACATAGTGGCTTAGTTCGCCCACCGTGTGACACTCATAATAGTGTAGCCATCATATTTTACCTCCAGTTATTTTCTCAGTTTTACTGTTCACCAGATATAGGAATATGTCATTTCCTCCTCATCTCTGACTTACAACAAAAGTTCCTGACAGGTCACACAGTGTCCTCAGAATGAGGCTATCATGTATATATCAACCACAGGAAGTTTATGAGCAAACATGGGTGTTTTGTACTTTAATTTTGGGTTTGGTATCAAGAAGGCCCCCAGAGATCACAGAACTTTTTGTCTCAGGTATGAAATAAGGCCATAGAGAACACTGAGATAAGCCAAGCATTGGAGTGGAATTGCCTTAACCACATCAGTACTTACTAGAATTTCTGCTTTGAGTCCTCTTTCTAGTGTGCAGTTTTGTAGTGATCCATTGGCACAGCTTTGTCTTTAAATGGCAAGATTCCATTTACTAAATTGTCCCCATCTTGCCTGAAGAATGTTCCATGGAAGCCTAGTGGCTGATGACCACTAAAATGTAACCCCTCTTATGCTGCTTAGGAGACCTTTGTCCCCAAACATTTTAGACAATGTCCAGCACATCTTACTAGTTCGATTTCCTCAACATCTTACTTGACCATGCTTCCCACAGCATAGGTGTTCAGAGCTCAGGAACCACTGGAATTAAGCAGTGTCCTCTCAGGAACAGTGAGAACCTACTTCTCGATGAGAGGTGTTTGCCTTCAACCCTTTCCTTGCTTGAAGCTGCCTTCTCAAACCACATGGGCTATATTGCCTAGGTTTTCTTTGCGGGGGGCAAGAAATTTAAAGAGAAAAGAGCTTACATGAGGCCAATAATGCTGTCTTTCTTACCAGGAGCTGGAGGAAATTGACACTGTTTTCGTGGTGAAAGGTCACAATGCCCCCTTTGAATTGAACTGTAAATACTAAATTCTCAACAATTATTCTTAGCAGCAGTGATAAAAATCTCAGCAAATTGCAGCTGTTTGGTTTTTCACCCAAAACACACCCTCCTTTCCATCAGTGAGACTTACTCTTCCTACCTGGCACGTACAACCCAGCACTAAATCCCTTCAGCAAAATCATTCCAGGTAACTGTTCGGCCAAGAGCCAAGGGCAGCTTGGGCAAAGAGGATAAACACCAGGCTCCTCTCTGAGAGCCATCTCTATACATAAGCTGTTGAGGAAGTCATAGTTGGAAATTGTTTCAGAGACCTGGCAATGCTTTTAAAACACGCTAACTATCACACTCTACTCTTCCCTGAAAGGTTAGCTTAATCGTAGATCACAAAAGAATTGGTTTCCACAAATGCATAATGGTTCATCTATGTCACACTTGAACTAAATGGTTTTTTAAATGGAGCTGAAATTATTTTGATGTGTACACAGTCCCAGATTTCTATACAACCTTTTTTAACCAGCCCATCAGGAGTCTTGCCTCTAAAGCCTCATTAATAATTCAGATGTGCTGATGACTTTAAAAGATCTATGGAATTGAAGCTCAGGGAAAGGGAAAAAAAAAGAAAACCTCT